CCATCCTTACAGACTACTACCTTTTAAATGAAATAATTTTAGCTGTGTCAGCCTCTCACTCACAGCTAAATCTCTAGTACAAGAGGCCTGGGATGGAACTGACTTGGCTATTCACAACAGGCCTAACTTGATTACTGAGGGATTAGTTCTCCAATTTGGGCCACTGCCATTCAAGGTTAGGCCTTGAATGTATTTGTACTCCATCCTCAATCCTAACCTTTTGAGGTTAGATAACCAAAGGTTAATCTGGCCTCTTTCATCCAACTGACTACTTTAGACTAGCCAAAAATGACATAGCAGAGAACTCCAATTTGGATACCAAAGGTTTCTCATCTTAATTTCTCAGCTCCCAGCAGAAGGATCTTATTCCTGAACCATGGACAGGAAATATTATTTCAATCACAGAAAGCCTTCTTTCTCTCCAGACACCTGACTGGCATTTTCTACTCTGATCTTTCCCATGCACATAACTTTTACTGATAAGTATTTTCCTATGAATAGTAAGAGTTGTTGGAAATTGTATGGGTTTGAAACTTTTTCTGAGCAGGTGAGTTTGAATATGGATGAGTCAATAATGAGACAAACACTGTTAATCACTTTAATACAAACAATAAACTACCATGTATGTGTTTTAGGGACTTTGGTAGTTTTAAATGAATTTTCAATTTATGGTCTTTTCTTTTTAAACTCATGGGAAAAGTGTGGTCAAAAGGACTGTGGGATATCCTATTTTGGCAAGTAGCAACTGGGATCTCAAAAGCTGCAGGCAGACACCTACATGCAACAATGGGTCTCTTGTTGTCCAGAGCAAAGAATGAAGAAAGCCAAAGACACAAGAAAGTAAGTAGTCCAAGGGACTGATACACCATGTGATCCTCAGCCTATATGACTATGAGACCACAAGAACTTGATGGTGCCCGACTACCACTGTCAACCACTCAGAGGGAGATCTATGTAGGAGATCCAGGATGGAGTGGGAGAACAATGTGGAACAAAACTCAAAATCATTTGGAAAAAAAAAAAAAAAAAAGGGACCAGATTTGCTGGTCTGATAGAGCCTGACAGAACCAGTCAGACTATGGCCCCTACCTGCCCTTTAGGTCTGGAATTGAATCCACTCCTGTGGCTTCCAGCCAAACAAAAGACAGGCATATGAGGTGAACATTTACACTAGGTAGATATACTCCTCAGAGAGAACAATCATGGGAGAATAGAAGGGCTGTGTATGCACAGGGAGACAGTTCAGGGGACAGGAGTGCAAGGAGGGATGGATACAGGGAAGAGTTAACTATGTGGAGGAAGTGGGAGGGGAGCTGTTGCATTGTGGGAAATTATAGTCAATGTCATGAGACAAAGTGTATGTGAGCTGCTGAACGGAAAGTGCATTTGCTCTGTAAACTTTTACCCAAATTGCAATTTAAAAAAATGTTAATAAATAAGTAAGAGAAACCATAAGAGAGCTACATAAATGGAAGAACATCCCATGCTTGTGATAGGAAGACTGAACATTGCAAAAATGTCAATACTATCCAAAGCAGTCTATACATTCAATGCAATCCCAATCCAGATGCCATCAACATTCTTTAAGGATATGGAAAAACTAATCACTAATTTTATATGGAAAGGAAAGGGACCTCTGATAAACAAAGCACTATTGAAGAAGAACAAAGTAGGAGGTTTCATGCTCCTGGGGCTCAAAACCTACTGTACAGCCACAGTACTCAAAACATCCTGGTATTGGTACAACAACAGACACACAGACCAGTGGAACACAATTGAGAACCCAAAAATAGATCCACTGACCTATGGTCAGCTGATTTTTGACAAAGGGCTGAAATTCATTAAGTGGGGAAGAGATGGGCTCTTTAACAATTGGTGTTAACAAAACTGGATAGCCATTTGCAGAAAAATGAAACAAGACATGTACCTCACACTATATGCAAAAACTAACTTCAGATGTATCAAAGACTTAAATGTGAAACCTAAAACTATAAAGTTCCTCAAGGAAAAAATAATGGCAAATCTAGGGGCCCTAATATATGGCATAAATAGACTGTTAAGCATAACCCAAAATGTATAAACAGTAGAAGATAAACTAGATAAATGGGATCATCTAAAAATTAAAGCTTTATGTGCTTCAAAAGACTTTTCCAAAAGGGTAAAAAGAGAACCTACTGTTCAGCAACATTTCTGACAAGACACTTATCTCTAAAATTTATAGAAAACTCTTAACACCTCAACTACAAAAAGACAAACAACTCAATTAAAAAAAAATGGGCAGAGGACAGGAATAGACACTTCACTAAAGAGAATACTCAGGCAGCCAATAAACACATGAAGAAACATTCACGATCATTAGCCATTGTTGTTGTGTTGTTATGTGCCGTCGAGTCATCCCTGACTCATAGCGACCCCTCCTTGGGTTTCCGAGGCAGTATCACTACTGAAGTAGGATTGCCCAACCTTCCTTCCGAGGAGTGGCTGGTGGGTTTGAACCACCAGCCTTCTGATTAGCAGTCAAGTGCCTTAGCCACTATGCTACCAGAGCTCCCCAATAGCCATTGTTGTTGTTGTTGTTATGTGCCGTCGAGTCAAACCCGACTCATAGCGACCCCTCCTTGGGTTTCCGAGGCAGTATCACTACGGAAGTAGGATTGCCCAACCTTCCTTCCGAGGAGATGCAAATCAAAACAATGAGATGCCATCTTGCCCCAGCACTAGTAGCAAAGTTCAACAAGACAGAAAATAATCAATGCTGGTGAGGATGTAGAGATATTGGGACTCTCATACACTGCTGGTAGGACTGTAAAATGATACAACCACTGTGGAAAGCAGTATGGAAATTGCTTAAAAAGTTAGAATTAGAAATACCATTTGATCCAGCAATCCCACTATGAGGGATATATTGTAAAGAAGTGAGAGCCAGAACAAGAACAGATATATGCACACCCATGTTAACTGCAGCAGTATTTAGAATAGCAAAAAGATGGAAACAATCTAGGTACCCATCAACAGAAGAATGGATAACCAAACTATGGTATATACACACAATGGATTACTATGGAACCATAACGAATAACGTAGAATCTGCAAAACACTGCATAATGTGGATGAACTTGGAGGACATTATGCTAAGTGAAATAAGTCAATCATAGAAGGGCAAATATGATACTAGTTCATTCCTGTAAAAAGTCAAGGAAAGGTTTATATATGGAAGGAAACTTTCTTTGTTGATTACCAGGGGTGGAAGGGGAGGTGAGGAACACTGCAAAAATAAAAAAGAAACAGAAACAAACAAACAACATTTAAAGTGTTCACAGCAGCACTATGAACATTTCCACTATCACTGGAAACTACCCAAATGCCCATTTTCAGGAGAATGGATGAAGCTACGTAATATAATGAAAGACCGTACAACAATGAGAATGAAATAGCTATACACTACATGTAGCAGCATGAATGAATTTTATAGCTAATGTTTAGTGAAAGAAACCAGACACAAGAGTATATAAAATAGGATTCCGTTTTATGAAGTTAAAGGACAGTCAAAACTAATTGGCATTAGATGTCAGGGTAAGGTTATTCTTAGGGTAAGTGGGAAGAGAATGCAAGAGAGCACTAGGGTTTCTCTAGGGTGCCAGTAAGATTTTTTTTTTTTTTTTTTAGGTGCTATTACATAATTTGTGTATTCAATTTATGAAAATTCACAGAAATGCACTTATGATATTTCCCCCTCCATGCATTTTATATTTCAATTAAAAGTTAAAGGAAAAAAGAAAAAGTGGCAAAATAGGCAAAAAGGACAAAATATTAGTATCTGTGTAATCTTGGTTGTGGGTATTTAACTATTATGCTATTTTTGACAGTTCTGTATGTATGTGAAATATTATATAATTTAACATAGACTAGAAATAAATAAGGAACTCTGGTAGCATAGTGCCTAAGGCACTTGACTGCTAACCAGAAGGCTGGCGGTTCAAATCCACCAGCCACTCCTCGGAAGGAAGGTTGGGCATTCCTACTTCCATAGTGATACTGCCTCGGAAACCCAAGGAGGGGTCTCTATGAGTCAGGGCCAACTCGATGGCAAATAACAACAACAACAAGAAATAAATATATAAAGGCATGGAGGTACTTCTAATTTTATTTATTAAGCAAATGGAAAGTGCTACTCCTTCACGGTACTGCTGGTCTATTATTTCTCAAGATATCCACATTTCTGACTCACCTGAACAGCTGCTTTTAGGGGTTTTTCTCTCAAACATCCATGGTTCTTTTCCTTTCTCCAAATTATAGTTCTCAGTTTTGGCAACTGGAAGCCCTGCACAGATTTAAAAGAAAGAAATGGGGCATAGCTGTTTGTGATGGACACAACAGTTTATCCCGTAGCATAGTCCCAACTCTCTGATCTACAAACAGAGTATTTTACAGAAGATCTAAAGTGTAAGAGGATGGCCTGCTAAAGGGAACTTAAAATATCTGCAGTAACAGTCTGGGCTTGATAATTATACCTGGGTTTAAAAAAGCAAATGCTTTCTCCTGTCAGAAAGAGAATGAAGTTTTCTTTATTTTCTTCTTGAGTGAGGAAATTTCAGAGAGACACTGCAGATCAGTCCCTTGGAAAAATTGGAAACTCAGAGGCAGCACCACAAAGCTGTGACTATAGTAGTGAGAGTTCCTATTTTCTCATGTCTTCCCATTCCTCCTTTCTTTTACTTCCTGTATCTCCTTTTCTTGGGGAATTCATTACATGAGGCTTGGGAGGGCTACCACCCTTCACACAAATACATTTATGCATGTATACATATGCACAGAATGGTAGGCACATAATCCAGAATTGGCCAGAATATGCTCCATCTCCCTAGGTATAGTGATTGTTTCAATAATGGGCATATGATCCTACCTGAGACTTTCAGAGCCTTCTCTTGTGTTTTGCTGAAACTCCTAGGATATAAGAAGTTTTTGTTTATTTATTTATATTTTGCTTAGCTCTCTAGCTAGAAGATTAATTTAACTCTAGAGTCACCACTGCCAACTTTGCCACATACAAAGAGCCTAAGAATAAAGCCAGTATTAGGTAAAGCTAAACAACAGGACAAAAATGGAAGAAATTTCTAATAATATATTTGATTCCCTGAATCAAGCTTTCTTTCCTTTTAAGTAGTGAGAATTGGGTTTCTAACATTTGAATCTACGAACCTCTGATATACAATAAGCATAAACACTTTACCAAGAACTTAAAGCAAAAACAGATTTTTTTTCTAGGCCCAAAGGAGCTAACAGTTTATGACTCCTGAAGAGCAAACTGAAAGCATTGTTAAACAATTTTGTTTTCAATAAAAAGTAGGCAGATTTCAGAGTCATAATGAAAATCCATTCTTACAAAGTGAGACTAGGTTCCTATAGTTATTCAGCATCACATCCCGTTGTGCAGGATCCAGCTTTCCCCACTCGTCTGGGGTGAAATCCATGGCCACATCCTTAAATGCCACTGATTCCTAAAGTACAAAACAAATGATTACTTATCACCTCTCACTCAATAATCTCATTTCCATTCTCCATGGCTATGGAGAACAGGTGCAAAATATGTTCATCAGGGGGAAGTGAGTATGATACATAAAAATTATTCTAACAGTATTCAGATTGTGACTTTCCTACATAAAGTCACGGGGTGTGGTTCTGGTAAGGTGGCAGAATAAGCAGAAAGACTGCACAGACCCTCTTCAACAAAGAAAAGGGGAACCAATTAACACCAATACAGAAGATAATCCTGGACCCCTAAGCTTTGAAGGGAAGGATATAGAAGTAGACTAAACTCCAACTAGCAGAAAAATGTGCATGAAAACACCAAAAAAGGAGACATATGGAGCTGCAGTCTGGCAGCGATCCTGACAGAACAGACAGCTTGGATATTGCAGAGTGGTGGCAGCACCTAAGAATTAAGCTAAAAATCAGCCTTGCTAGCCAGGGACTGCATGGAGGACTGCTCTGGTGGCTGGTGGCTGGGGAATAAAAGGAGAAGCAGCAAATTGGAAGGCAGGTTAAGCTTTGAACTTTTGCCTGTCTGGAGGATGCAGTCATTTTAAATGTTTACAAGCAGTTTGACCATTTTGGATATTTAAAGTGACAGCTTTCTCCCAGATTCCAGGGACTTAAGAACAGGCTCCACCTGCCGGGAACCCCAAGGACATTCTGCATGCAGATGACTGGAAAAGTGTGACATTCCCTTTGTAACTCCTATATCCCACACCCTCTTGGTGAACGGAGGTGCAGCCATCCCTCGCTCCCACCCACCTTCTAGGCTGCCAGGAATTCCATCCCAGTCTGTGTGCTGGAATGGAGCCCAGGTGCCCTCCCCACCCCGATTTTATTTTTCCTTTTTTTTTAAGTTTGTTTCTCTTTTAAAACTACTACTATTATTATTACTTTTGTCTTTTTAATTATTATTCTTTATTCTTCCCTTCCCAGGTTCTAGTTTTCCATATTTTTTCTTTTCCCTTTTCCAGGTTCTAGTTCTTTTTTTTCTTTCTCATGGTTAACCACGTTCCTTGTTTTTCTTTTTGCATTTTTCCCTTTTTTTTCATTATTCTCCTTCCCTGCGTTTTTCTCTTATTGCCCTCTCCCCAGATATTGTGGTGTTTTTTCTTTTTTTCCCCCACCTTTATTCTTTTTTTGGGTACTGTTCCTGTGTGATTACATGGTTTTTTTTTTGCCCATTTGCTTTTATTTTTTTGATAGTTATTCATTTGTTATTTTTTGTCTGAGTGGGAGAAAGCAACAGACCCCATATGACGCAACTACACCCATACCTCCTGCAGCTTCACTTACAGAGTTGAGAGCCACCACTTCATTCTCCACCAACCACCAAGAAGAGCCTGACTCACCCTGAGCTGCTCTTCACAAACAGTTAACAGAGACCTAAATACAACAACATCACAATGTCTCAGAGACAACAGACCATCACAGTTCACACAAAGAAAGATAAAGTGATAGAAACAAGGACAACAGACCATCACGGTCCATACAAAGAAGCAAGATAAAGTGGTAGAAACAAGGGAGCAGGTTAGAGATCCAGAACACATCCCTGAGGAAGAAGCAGACTTTTTGAATGAAAATCCATTCTTCCTGATGAGGAATTCAAAAGAATCATATTTAGGTATGCAGTCACTGGGTATCAATTATGTACTTGACACAATTCTAGATTCAATATGAGAACTAAAAGAAGTAAGGACATGGTTTTTCCCTTTGATGTTGTTCTTAGGTGTCGTCAAGTTGCTTCCAAGCAACCCCACGTACAGCAGAAAGAAACACCACCTGATCATGTGAGTTCCATGATCCTTGCTACATTTCAGCCCATCATCACAGCCACTGTGTCAATCCATCTCATTGATGGCCTTCTTCCCTTTCGTCAACCCACCACCTTACCAAGCATGACATCCTTCTCTAGGGAATGGTCCCTTCTGACAACATGACCAAAGCAAGTGAGACGAAGTCTAGCCATTCTCACTTCCAAGGAGCATCTTGGCTGCACTTTGTCCAGGACAGATCTGTTAGCATTTAACAGTCCTTGGCACTTTCAGTATTCTTTATCAGCACCACAAACCAAAAGCATCAACTCTTCTTTAGCCTTCCTTCTTCATTGTCCGGCTCTCACATGCATATGAGGCAACTGAAAATATCATGGCTTGTGTCAAGTGCACCTTAGTCCTCAAGGAGACATCTTTGATCCTCAGCACTTGAAAGAGGTCCTTTGCAGCTGACTTGCCCAGTGCTATACATCATTTCATGTCCTGACTGCTGCTTTCATTGCTGTCAACTGTACAACCAAGCAATGTGAATTCTTTGACAAACTTAATCTTTTCTCCATTTATCATGATGCTCCTTATAGGTCCAGTTGTGAGAATTTTTGTTTTCTTTATTTTGAGATGTAATCCATACTGCAGACTGTTCCTCAATCTTCATCAGTAAGTGCCTCAAGTCATCCTCACTTTCAGCAAGCAAAGTTGTATCATCAGCATATCTCAGGTTGTTAATGATTCTTCCTCCAATCCTGATGCCACGTTTTTCTTCATATAGTCCAGCTTCTCAGATTATTTACTCAACATATAGATTGAATAAGTATGGGGAAAGGATACAGCCCTGACGCACTCCCTTCTTGATTTTAAACCATGCAGTGTCCCCCTGTTCTGTTCGAATGACAGCCTCCTGGTCAATGTACAAGTTTCTCATGAGTACAATCAAGTGTTCAGGAATTCCCATTCTTCTCTATGTTATCCATAATTTGTTATGATCTACACAATCAAATGCCTTTGCATAGTAAATAAAATACAAGTAAACTTCTTTCTGGTGTTCTTCGCCTTAAGCCAAGATCCATCTGACAACAGCTATGATATCCTTTATTCCACGTCCTCTTCTAAAGCCCACTTGCATTTCTGGAAGGTCTCTGTCAATATATTGCAGCAACCATCTTTTGAATTATCTTCAGTAAGATCTTACTTGCATGCGGTATTAATTATATTGTTCAATGGTTTCCACATTCTGTGGGATCACCTTTCTTTGAAATGGGTACAAATATGGATCTCTTCCAGTCAGTTGGCTAGGTAGTTGTATTCAAAATCTCTTGGCATAACCGAGTGAGTGCCTCCAGTGCGGCATCCGTTTGCTCAAATATCTCATTGGGTATTCCATCAATCCCTGAAGCCTTGTTCTTCACCAATTCCATCACTCTAGCTTTGACTTTCTCCTTCAGTACCATTGGTTCTTGATCATATTCCACCTCCTGAAATGGATGAAGATCTACCAGTTCTTTTTGGTACAGTGACTCTGTGAATTCTTTCCATCTTCTTTTGATGTTTCCTGCATCATTTAATATTTTGCCCATAGAATCTTTCAGTATTGCAAGTCAAGGCTTAAATTGTTTCCTCAGTTCTTTCAGCTTGAGAAATGTCAAGAACGTTCTTCCCTTTTGGTATTCGAATTCCAAGTCTTTGCACATTTCATTATAGTAATTGGCTTTGTCTGTTTAAGCTGCTCTTTGAAATCTTGTGTTCAGCTCTTTTATCTTGTCATTTCTTCCATTTGCTTTAGCTACTCTCTGCTCAAGAGCAAGTTTCAGAGTCTCTTCTGTCATGCATTTTGGTGTTCTTTTTTCGTCTTTTTAGTGACTTCTTGCTTTCTTCATGTATGATGGTTTTGATCTCACCCCACAATTCTTCTGGTTTTCAGTCATTGGTGTTCAATGCATCAATCTATTCCTTATTTTTTAAATTGTGATTTGGGTGAAAGTTTACTGAGCAAATTCACTTTCCATACAGCAGTTCACATATACTTTGTCTCATGACACTGACTACAATTTACCACAATGCAACAGCTCCCCATCCACTTCCTGTTGATAGTTACCTTTTCCCTGTGTACATCCCTCCATGCATTCCTGCCCCCTGAGTTGTCTAACTGCATAAACAGCCCTTCTCTCCCATGATTGTTCTCTCCAAGGAGTGTATCTACCTCAGGTAAATAAATGTTCAACTCATATGTCTGTCTTTTGTTTGG